GACTGTCATTTGAACAAAAATGTTGGCTCACTTCTATTTTACTCTGAGTACCTGCTGAAAGCAATCTTGATTCGGATATTTCTGATTCTGATTCAGCATTCAAGTAACTCAGCGAAGTGGATAATCATTTTACTATATCTTATACTTAGCTGAGAATGTTTATTCTATGCTTTTAATAATTGTATGGTTTAATGTTTTAATCATATAAAGTATTACTTACACAAATTGTAACTATAGTCTAACTATAGCTATAATTTGTGTACCAATATTTGGTTGATGTGTGTTTCTGTCTAGTCGGAAACAGTAGTTGGAGACTGACACATATCCGTCGTGTGGACTAATGAATTGATTTTATGAATAAATAGTCTTAGTGGAGACTTGTAGTTGTTAACTAGAACGTCCCTGAATTGTCTGCATTTGGTGTAGACAATACGAATACAAAAGTTAATGACTTTTTGAAAAGGTACAAATCCAAATAAACCCAGTTTTCTGTCAAGAATCTGTGCCATTTGTCGCCAGCAAGACCCCTCATAAGCTGATTGAAATAAATAAACCACAACACATTAACAAACATCAGTTTTGTATTTTTTTCTATCCACAACGTTACTAGCTCTTATACTATCATTACTTCATTACTATAGTCATATTGGATCATCTGATCTAAGCGCTTTAATAATATCTTAAAAGGTATTACACGTTTCGCTTAATTCGAATCATAGCTTATTAGGTTAAGTGGTTTACCCAGTGTTCAGAAAAGTTCCATATCAATTTACCTGTTTAAAATTCTTACATCAATCTTTTTCAAATAACATGCGAATGAAACTATCGTATTCTAAAAATATTGTCCATATATTTTATAAAAAATATTAAGTGAAAATCTCAAGTAGAGTGCGAAATATGGAGGTTTTTTAAAAGCTACCTTTTCCAATCTTATATCTAGACTGGTTATAGCATTCGATAATTATTAAATATTGCATACGTATACAGAAAATATAACTGCTATCTTTTAAAGTATATAAATTAATTATAATTTATGTCAATATTTATCAATCAGTTGATTTTACCTAATATTTATTTATTTCATTACAATTATTATATATTCTTTTTTTTTTGGTTTTGATTTAATAGAGGAAAACGTAATTTATTAATATTTTGATCTCTACAATTTAATAACATATCTATTCATACTTACTGCTTAAAATATTAATAAAATCTCATTGCTTCTATGAATAATTTCATCGTATCTATAAATAATTATACGAATCAGATTAAGTAATTCGTTTTTTATAATTATTAATTATCATTAATTTAGAATAATTATCAATACAGCAATATCTGCTTATTATGTTAGTAACTATTATGTTATAACTTACTATTATGTATGGTTTTATAATGCTTATACCTATAACAGTGATATGGGAATTAGGATTACAAAGGTATATAAACAAAATATATAAAAAATGCAACAAGCATGAAAATTATATTTAACACGTACTATACAGGGTGTCCCATTAAGAATAGCTTTCGGCTGTATCTCGGAAAGTATTAGTCGTAGAGCTTGCGGAAAAAAATACTTCTAACTAAAGAGAGCTTTATTCTAAAATTGACAATATACCAGAATACGATAATACCAGATGTATTAATATCTAATAATTAATATATCAATGACAGTGAATAAGAATCGACGCCTCTGTGAAGTCATGGTAGGCTTTGGAAAAAAGATGCTTTTGACGTAATAGTATAAACGTCAAAGAGTTATTAAATCAACATTTTGATAGTCGTAGCAGCGTTTTTGTTTTCTTTTGAAGAAAGGCATTTTTAGAAAAGCAATCAAAAGATAAAAAACGCTCCTGAGACTATCAAATTGTTGATATGATAATATTTTGAGTTTAAACTATCTCTTTAAAAGCAATTTTTTTCCAAAGCCTACCATGAATTCACTGAGGCGTCGTTTCTTAATTACTTTCATTGATATCTTAGTTATGAGATATTAATACACCTAGTATTATGGTATTCTGGTACATTGTCGATTTTTTGAATGAAATAATCTTTATCTTATTTTTTATTAGAATGGTCATAATAAAGAGAGCTAGGGATACCGTGTTAGAAAGATAAGATAATTAAGGGTTTATTGTTTCGTATTTCGTATTATAGTTTTGCTGATAACTTTGGTTTAAAAAAAATATCAAGATGCGGTTTTTGCTGAATTTTTAAACTTTTATTACTCTTTAGTATCAGCTAAAATTACATATACTATTGCATTTAACTTTTTCGAAAAAACGCGTAATGTTTGTTAAATTGTAAGACAGCGCCCCCTAGCGTCTACGGTCACAAGCTTATTTTTATTGTTTATATGTTATAATATAGAATAAGAAACGCTCTTTTAAACGAGCCCTCACTTGTTGAATTCCGATCAACCAGTCCGGAGTTATTAACATTTAAATAAAAATAGATCTAACCTTTCCCTACCACTTTATTTTAGCAGATAGGGGAAAAGGTTCTAACAAAAAATATGCAAAAATTACTGAAGATTATAAATCTATTATTTATAGTATTATTTATAGCAATTTCTCATGCTCTGTTTAGTTATAAATATTTTTTTCCGCAAGCTCTACGACTAATACTTTCCGAAATACAACCGAGAGTTATTCTTAGTGGGACACTCGGTACAGTATACAGGGTGGTCTGAATTGTATTCCGGAAAGTTCGGGAGCATATTCTGCAGATAAAAAGAAGTAAAAAACTTCTTATAAATGTATGTCCTAAAATGCTTAGTTTCGGAAATACAGGGTGTAAAAGTTTCATTTTTATTTCGATTTTTTCCAAATAATTTCTGAAGTAACGTCAATATTTGTATGAAAATTGGTGTCTGTTAGTTTTTTGACATGAGAAATTTGATTTTGATGTCATTATGACTCCTATTTGTAGAGGGCGCCACCTACATGTGTTTTAACTGTTTGAAGAGTAATAAGTTTTTGTCCGTACCTGTATAGAACTGCCGAGTGATAAAATATTCATTTTCGTAAATATTCGTTTTTTTTACGTAAAAAATGTCTCTTGGTAAAAATCTTTACGAGCAACCCTTCTCGAGATATTTAGAATGGGAATAGTCAATATATGTCATTAATAACAAAAAATAAATTTGTTGAGTAGATAGTTATTTGACTAAAAAGATAAATTTGGAAAATTTTAATTTTTTTAAATTAATGATAAAATTTTCTTCGAAAAAATGATGATTGATGATGGTTAGGCACAAAAACATTTCAAATTTATGATTTCCCTCTATTAACTATTTAGACAACATGTTTAATTTATGTCAATATGATGACAGATATTGATAATTTCGATTTCAAATATCTCGATAACTATTACTCGTAGCGATTTTTATTAAGAGATCTTTTTTACGTTAAAAACGTCGTTAATGTATATTTTTTACTTGGTAGTTTTATACAGGTACGGACGAAAAGTTATTACTTCAAACCAGTTAAAAATATGTAGGTGGCGCCCTCTACAAGTAGGAGTCATATTGATATCAAAATCAAATTTCTCATATCAAAAAACTCCCAGACAACAAATTTCATCCTAATATTGATGTTACTTCAGAAATTATTTGGAAAAAATCGAAATAAAAATGAAACTTCTACACCCTGTATCTCCGAAACTAAGCATTTTAGGACATACATTTATAAGAACTTTTTTACTTATTTTTATCTGCAGAATATGCTGCTGAAGTTTCCGGAATACAGTTCGGACCACCCTGTATAGTAGATATCATGTAGACAGGGTTTGATATCTATTAGATACTGTAAAGTACAGTACGTCTGTCCGTTCTGTAGCTACGCGGTATCCGTGAGAGGGGAAACGATATTCTCTCGATGTTTTTCGTAAAAAATTAGACGACGCGTCCCATCAATAAAAATTCGATAAACTTGCAAGTGGCTAATAAAATGAGTGGTCGATTTGCGGTGACGTACTCGTCAAGTCGACGTATAAAATATATTGCTGTTTATTTAAATGTTTTTTGTCCGCATTCCTTTCATAGACACAGATCCAGCAGATGTACTGTACGTGTTAAATAGAATTTTCAAGTTTGTTTCGCATTTTTTTGTTTATATACCTTTATAACTCTAACTTTTACCGCTCCTGAGGAAGATATAAACAATGTCGCATTAGAAAAAATTGAATTCAATTTTGAATAGACCTCTTCCCGAGAGTATATCACTGATATTCATTCATATGGCCGAGAATTACTTACAAATATACCTAAAACATCAACTAAAATAATTATACTCAACTAAAAAAATGTACAGTTAAAGTTAAACATGATTGGATTCTAAAATAGTATACAAATATGAATTAAAATTTTATGTATCATTTAATAGACACAAAGTAAATAGAAGAACATTTTAGTTTACATACTTATAATTTTTCTTTGTGAGAAATTTATTATAACAGCTAAGTTAGCTAGTAATACCGATACAAATTTACATATGTTAAAAGTTATTGCGCTTAGATTAGGCAAATAATCAAGACAGAATTAGAAGTATTTATAAAATACTTTAAAATATATTTAAGCCTTTAATTCGACATATCAAATATTCTATCTTGATTAATATAATGATAAATTAAGACATTTTCTTATCATAGTGTATGTTATTTATTTGTCAGATAATTTGTACACTCTGTGTTATAATTATTTGTAAAAATTGTTCTGTTAATCGAAAAATGTTTTATTATCATTACACTTTATACTTGTGGCATATTAATTTCGTTAAATTTTACTAATGCACTTAAAACTTCACAAAATTTTATTTTTTAGTAAATTACAAGTTCTTAAACGCATTATAATTTTAGGTTAATAATAGACCATTTTATACACTATCTGTTATGAAACATCATCCTTTTTATAGCTAGACTATTTACTGACTAAAAGATAACATTTTGTGATGATAAAGTTGTGATAAAAATAAACAATAAACTAACTAATTTATATGTTATAGTAGAGGACCATCATGGTGATGCATCTGGTGATACCCCTCTTACAAATGAAGATGGAAGTAGTGAGAACAGTGGTATTTCGACAGTGGCTACGTCATCGGTTTTAGCAATAGTGACGGCGTTAGTGACCTATTTAATAGCTAATGTGTAATAAAAAATTACAAAGTTACTACTTCGTTTTATAAACGAGGTAAAACTGTGACTGAAAGACATTTTTAAACAATTCTGTGTGATTTCGAGATGTTTTCGAAAACTATTATTACAATGCCTTAAAAAATAAAGTGCCTGTTTATAAAAAAAGAGCTCAACATTTATCATGTGATGGCAATCATAATATATTGTTTTATGAAGAACATTTTTTCTTTTTTTAATTTTTATTGTTGCATTTTTTTTCAATGGATTTAATGATATTCTGTATCTTCTAAGGATAAATTATCACTATTTTATAAAAGAGAAATGCATTTTTAAACTAATTTCTTAATAGTTTAAAAATATCAAGTATGCTACTCTTGTTTTTATTGATATTTACCAACACATAAGCTACTCATGATCTCTTATGTACGTTTACATAATCCAAATATATATTTATTCTAACGTTGTTAAAATTTAAAATAGGTATCTACTAACATTTGGCTGCTTGATTTTACCACCACATGTATTGTTTTCGAAAATATTTTAGACGCTATTAAAGTATTTTACAATTCCAAGCTTTAGTTATATAACAATGTCTAAATGTGAAGATACAAGTGAATGGGTGTATGAGTGATTTTTATTTTTAGAAATTTTTGTTGTTAAATTATTTGTTTTCAAATCTTTTCATAAGTTATACTTCTTGTTTCGGTAAATTGTTCAAAACTTTATTTTGCTAATGAACTGTGAAAAATGTGAGATATGTTTGGTTAGTAAATATAATGTTATTTAATTCTATTTGTCTTCAACCAAAAATTGTTATTTTAATATAAAATTGGCAAAACATATTTTTCGAAATATATAAATTTCCTCATAATGTTAAGTATTTCAAATATCGATTGCCACGTAATGTGTAGGTTAGTTTATTTTGTACAGAAAAATATAGGAGTAATAAATTAATTTTATAATGATTTATAATGTGTCTTAGTACATTTTTGGGACCTTTCACAAGTTCAGTGTAGATTGAAAGTTATTTAACATTCAACTCAGCAGGTATACAAGTTGATATTCTAACGGAAATTTGTTTTTACAATCTCTTGGGAGATATTTCATATACATATGAAAGAAGAAGTATGGGATTGGAGAACGAATCAAAATGAGGTACATTTGGAATCGCTCTGCCTCAGTCTTGAAAGAGTAGGAAATAGCAATACTTTTTTTAAACGTATCTCCCTTGAATTATACGTCGTTGAAAATGTCTTTGCAGTTGAAAAGGTCTCTTTACAGCTATATAGCTATATCTTAAATCGATCAATTAGATATTGACTTACCGGAGTTTCAAAGCAAGCAGCATTTTTGAATACTAGTAGTTTTGACTTTCCGTTATTCAAAAGGTACATTCAGGCTGAGAGCGTCGAGCGTCGCGTCGCGTTTGCGTCGTGTCCGCGTGTCGAAATGAAATCAATTCACTTAACTTAAATTAGACCGTTCAGGCAGACAGCGTCAAGTTTGGCGTTGCGCTAGCGTCCGTTGAGCGTCGGGGTTCGAGTTCAATGGGGCGGACGCGACTCCAACGCGACGCGACGCTTGACGCTCTCAGCCTAAATTTACCTTAACACATTTATCTTAATGGTTTCTAATACATATTGGGGATATTAATATTCCTCCTCTAATACCTAGATATGTGTTTGAGATTTTCCTTATATTTTTTAAAATCCAATTTTTGGATTTGTCGGATTCACTGGAAACTACCACGAGAAGTTGTTGTAAAAACTGTTTCTATTGATGACCACTATATTACTTAAAATAGAAAAATATATACTTCTCTCTCTGGTGATCTCACGGTAAGCAGTATGGAGGAGAGACCACCCATATAATTTATATCTCTCCAGATTAGTTAAAAAAAAATTAATTATTGAGAATAAAAACGAGAGTGAAACTACTTCTACTACTGCCATTACTCGTTGACGAGTATTTGACACGCATCAGAAGATGAGGCGTTTTCTTTCATGAGCTTTTCTGTGACTGAAAAGACCGATACATGATGTTATCTCTCTTTTGCACTCCGGAGATCTAAAAATCTCAGCACTTTGTTGCCTCTTCCCTCTTTGGTTGTTGTTAACTGAGTTTTTTTCTCCAATGCGTTCTATTGTACGCTGCTCCCTCCCACTGATTCTACATTCGTGTACCCTTTAAGTTCTCATGGAAAATATTCTTGTATCTTTTGAGTTGTCCTCTCGGTTTCCTCTTACCGAGAGTAAAATGAGTCATTAGAGAAAGAAAAATAAAAGATCAATTAGAGATTAGCAAAAGTAATTTAACTGTAGAAATAACGATGTAAATGTACTTCAATCTATATTTCTGACTATTTAGACTAGATTTCATTTACACAAATTATAAATTACTGAAATAAAATTTAAAATAAGCTCTGTATGTATATTCTCATGGTATGGTTTTTGAAAACTGTTATTACAATAACTTGAAAGTTAAAGTGCCTGTTTATAAAAAAAACAAATTTTATAATAGGACCAGTATTACTATCAAATTTCTTTGTCAAAGATGACATTGTTAATATACAATATTTTTTATAAAATCACACATATTACACTATCAAATTCTTTTATAAAATAAAATCTTTGACAAAGAAATTTGATACTGTTAAGGATGATCCACATTTAGTAACATGTTATATAACATTGCTATTTAACAAGCTATATATCACATGTTAATAAACCGGGAGCCGTCCACATTATAGTTTTTGTAATCATGAATCGTTTTGGCGCGAAAGAGGTTCTGCTCGCAGCAGCGTAATTACTTTTGAAGAAAGAGAAAGAAAGTCGAAAAAAAGCGGTTTTGAGTCCGCCATAGCCTACCAGCAAGATCTAGATATAGTTGAACTCAATTAGCTTACCTTTTCAATACCTGCCTTGGCTGTTTCTCGTGGTGTGTTTCTGTCTTTTAAAAACATTAATTACTTAAAAGCAGACCATTTTGAATTATCCGCTTCATCTAAACCAGTACCTGATTTGCATTTCTTTTGTTCCCTCAGTAACTGACCTATTAGATAAAGCATTTTTTTTTTCAACTTTTTCTCTTTCCAAATACATACTTTTTGCAATTTTTAACCATGCATCATGCTTTTTTTTATTTTACTTTAAATGAGAGACTACGGATATCCCATAACACTATGATCTCTATACAAGTTAATTAGTTGACAAGTCTGCTCTTGGCTCTACTCCATTAATAATATAAGAACCGTACGATCGAAAAAAAAATGGCGTCAGCGATGGCTATGAAATGAAGATCGCTGTCATTCTATATGAAAAATTATATGGGGAATGTCATCGATCGTCATGTCCAAGTCAACTGGACGGGAGGCCGACTGGACGCAGTTTTTTTCGATCATACGGTATTATTGACCAGTAAATAAACAAACCACTATCAGCTCACCACACTTAAGATTTTATCGCGTACGTCCCTGAAAATATGAGCAGCTAAACTTGAAATTTAGCAAGTCTGGACGCCTTGTTTCATGTTACAATAGCAGTGTTGCGCAACATCTTTTGATCTTTACCGACTACAAGTGAATACCATCTAGCAAGTTATACAGTAAAATTTGCTAAATATGACTAAAAAATATGTAACATGTTATATAACTTTGCTATATAGCAGTGTTATATAGCAAGTGTGGACCGTCCTTAATACTGACCTATTACGGTAATCATAATACATTGTTTTATGATACACATATTCTGATAAGCTTTTTTATTTCTTATTGTTGAACTTTTTCACATTATAGACTTGCTTTAACAAGTTAACGTTATTTATTCGTTAATGGTTTATTCATTCTTTGGTTTATCCTTCAATTATTTAAACTATAATTCATTTACAAAAACTATAAATTACTGAAAGACAAATTAAAAAAAATCTGTGTGGTATTAAGATTGTTTTAAAAATGTTATTACAATATCTTAAAAATTAATGTGCCTGTTTATAAAAAAATAGCTCAAAATTTATCATGTAACAGAAATCATAATATATTGTTTTATGGTTGACATTTTTTCTTTCTTCTCTTTTAAATTGCTATTGTTGAACTTATTGAGATTTTAGAGCAGTTTTAAAAAGTAATTTATTTGTTAATTGTATATTAGTTAATTCTTTAGACTATAATTATTGTATTACAAATGCTATAAATTACTGGAAGAAAATTCTGTGTTATGTTAAGATGTCTTTGAAAACTGTTATTACAATACCTTAAAAATTAAAATGTTTTCTTATTACAGTTGAGGGTTGGAACCTTTGGTGTTACACAGCAAAATAAAAACACTAAATCACCACAATACGCCAAAACACTTTTACTTTTACACTGGACGCGCGTTTCGCTAACCATGTTAGCATCATCAGCAGATGATTATAAACTGAATTTTAAAAATTGAGCTTATAATCTAAATTAATTTAATTTAATAATTTAAATTTTCTAAATTGAGTTTATAATCATTTGCTGATGATGCTAACATGGTTAGCGAAACGCGCGTCCAGTGTAAAAGTAAAAGTGTTTTGGTGTATTGTGGTGATTTAGTGTTTTTAAAATGTTTTCTTATAAAAAAGAGCTCAAAATTTATCATATCACGACAATCATAATATATATTGTTCTAGGATTGATATTTTCTATTTCTCTTCTTTTTTAATTTATTATAGTTTTTGGACATTTTAGTCGTGTTTTAGAAAGTTAACGTCATTTGTTCGTTAATGGTTTATTTGTTTATTATTTAGATTATAATTCGTTTATAAAAACTACAAGTTACTGAGAGAATATTTAAAAAAAATGTGACTGTTTATTGACTAGTTAAAGTGACTGTTTATAAAAAAAGCTCAAAATTTATCATATGACGACAATCATAATATATTGTTTTATGATTGGAATTTTCTTCTCCTCTTCTTTATTCAATTTATTATTGTTGAATTTATTGTTGTTTTTGACCTACTAGATTTATTTTAAAAAGTTAACGTCATTTATTCGTTAATTATTTAGACTAAAATCATTTATAAAATCTATAAATTACTGAACGAAAAAATTAAAAAAATATGTGTGATGTCAACATGTTTTTGAAAACTGTTACTACAATACCTTAAAAATTAAAGTGCTTGTTTATAAAAATAGATCTCAAAATTGATCATATGGCGACAACAATAATATATTGTTTTATGATTGATATTTTCTGTTTGTCTCCTTTTTCTAATTTCTTATTGTTGAACTTGAAAGTTAAAGTAATTTATTCGCATCAACACAACAAACAAGATTAACAATAATATGCATTTGCAATCTCTCTCCGCTATATACAAACACTCCTATGTTTGTGCTCTATCATCAGACTGCTAATAAAGTCTCTTTGATGTAACGTCAAATAAGCAAACTTTGGCAAAGCCAATAAATGCACTCGCACAGTTGCGCTTAATCTCAGGTATTCATTATGTGAATTGATTTGTTGGCACACCTTTGTTGTGTATCGAAGTGTTATATAAGAGTTTAAAAATTTTGATCCGATTTGAATATAAATTATATATACAAGTTGATCCTAAATTCTGAACTAAATTATAAAAAAGCATATAGATTATAGATGATTAAACTAGAATTAACAATACAAACCTGATCCTATTACCAGTTGGGTAAGTACCATAGATAGTTCTTCATAGTTACTTTTATTTATGTAGAATTAGGAATAATTTTATCTCCTTATCCTTAAAACTTAAATCTTTTTAAAAATAATAATTAAATGTTATATTAGGCATACACTTTCAGTTCAATATTAGTTGTCAGGATTAGAAAAAATGTTTGTCTTTTCTTAGGAAATTAATAACTCAGTAATTTATTTGACTTAAATTTTTCTATTTTTTATTATTAAGGCTTGCAATTCTGCATACACATGTATGATTAAAAACGGCGTTCAGTTGGCTTGGAAAGGACAATCGATAACATTCCCCATATAATTTTACATATAAAATGCCAGCGATTTTCATTTCATAGCCATCGTTGACGCCGTTTTTTGTCGATCATATTGTACTTTTTATTATTTATTATTATTTTATGGCTAAAGAAAGTGAAAAATGTACAAATGATGAGGTAAAATGAAATCAAAAATTTTTTGTCTATGATGGTCACATTAATTAAACCGGTACTAAATATCGGTGTTATTATTTAACGAATTATTACATACCTTATTAGATTGATATATAACTAAATGTTTATTGAACATTATACTAATTATTCAATTATATTCTAAAACTGAAAAGAAGTAACACAACATTTAGGATTATACAGTAATATTATTCGATCATAATATAGTACGATTGGTATTAAAAATAAATGCGCAGAGACTAAATTTTAATTAATTTTTAATTTGTCAAAATTATTATAATAGTTTTATATCATTTTTAATATTATAACTATTTCTTTAAAATTTTAACAAATATACTCTTAGTTAGTCACTGTTCTGATTGATTTCAGAAAAGCACCATCAAATTTTAATTGCAATGATAACTTAGCAATGGTGAAATCTAAAAAAAATAAATCCATATTAGAACAGATGTGTTAAAGTAATGCGCTTACAAAGAACAAAAACGATTTATATAGATGAAATTAAATTTACTGTCTTTCTCGTAAAATAATTTAGTAAGATTTGCAATAAGAAGTAATACACTACTGGCATCAAATATTGTTTACAAATATACTGAACAGAAATATAACTTTTGTGTGAATAAGTTATTATCAAAACCACTAAATAATATTTATCGGAATCAAAACGGTGCCTCCGGAAACGCATCGTTTATGAAAATGTGTACCGACCTTTATCGGTATTGATAATGCAGGGAGCGTTTTGAGCAGCCTGTCTGGCAGAGTATGCTTGGGAAATCTGCAGGCAGGGGGCAGTGGGAGCGGTGCAGCGCGCGGCGATCGAGCGGCGGTCGGCGCGGCCCGGGCAGCCGAGCCGCCGCAGACGCGCTCAGTCAAGATGGCGGCCGAGCGCAAGAGCCCGCAGCAGCCCCCGGAGCGGCGGCAGTGCAAAAGTGCCGAGTGATGCGCGAGTCCGCCGCCGCCGCGAGCCCAAGCGAGCATGCAGCACTATGAGCGAGGGCCTTTGGGGGCCCGCGCGAGCGCCTAGCGGGCCCCGAGGCCGCGAGGGGGGGCCCTCCGGCCGCCCGCAGCGATGCCCCCGCGCCTCGTGACGCCCCATCGCCCCGCAGAATGCCCCGGCGGGCCCAGCCGGGCCTGCTGCTCCTGATGGCCGCCGCCGCCGTGGCCGTGGCCCCGGGCGCCCCGTGCGCCGCGCCCGCCGCGGCCTGCGTCCCACCCTGCGCCCCAAAAAACAACTCGACTCAGTGCCTTCAATTTTTGCAAGGATCGCACAAAGAGGAACTGTGCGGCCGCGACCTGTCGCCCGGGCGGCGCCGTCTCGCGTTCGCCGACCTTCGCTTGCGCCACTGTTGCGAACACCGGGTCGCCCAGGCCCTGCCGCAGGCCGCCTTCCAGGACGCTCCGACTTGCCGCCTTCACCTGCAGGGACTCCTCGAAGCCGACAACCTGGCCGCCACAGCTTCCTGCAGTCACGCCGAGCTCCTGCGGCGCTACGATTGCGCCCAAAACTATTCCATTGCTTACCACTGTCAACATTGCAAGGTAGGCCCCATACCATCCACTCTCCACATACCCACACTCTAAAATCATCATATTACTGGTTACCACTCGTCGCACAACCCATCTGCCAAAACCCTATACCCTATTATCCATCCTGGATTGCCTATATTATCCATGTTTAAAGTACTTCCAATAAAATACCATAAACACTATAAAAATACATTTTTAATAACTGTCATTGACCTACTAGTTTTTGAAAAACTCAATAAAGAAACAATTTCCTTAAGGTCGCGTTTTCCTCAAAAGAAGACTTCCCCCAATTAATCAGTTCAATTGTCAATTCAAATATAACATTAGACGACTCGTCCTAATAACTAACATACTGTTCCAAAAAAAAACATTTTATCGATTCTTGTCTGAATAACGTCCATAACATTCAAAACTAAACCTCGTTTACAAAAAAAAAACAGGTATTTTCGGTCCAAGATATTTCTTATTAGATCAACGAAATAACAAATCTTCTAGTTTGTACGACTTTTTTCTATGTTTTTGAAAACAGCAATTCGTCAAATTATCCATAGTGGACCTATTTTTTAAACCCAGTTTTTTAATCGATCGATATCCAAATTACGTCAGTGTCATGGTAAATACAATTAATTTAGTATTCAATTCATATCATTCATAAACAAAAATACACTCAGGCAAATATATTTGTGTTAAAAACCTCTTTTATTACTTGAATAATACAAATCATCCTCGATATCTCTTCTAGTTTTCCAATAATTGTAAAAAATCGTCTGATTTTTCTGCAGAACTATCGGGATTAGTTGGACATTAATAATCCTTCATTCATCAAATCATCCATAGTGCACCTGGTGCCTATTCTATAGTGAGTTTGCGTGGGAACCATCTACAAAGAGTTTTCGGCTGGGGATCTTGCGCGATCCGGATCTTGCGCTTTTCCGGAATTTTCAGAAACGTTCCGATGGAAAAATAGGCTTCTGGCAGAAAAATTTCCCGTCAAATTATATTACTGACTAGCCAGTGCGTGTTTCAATGACAAATCGAATTATTGGGCTTGTAGCGAAACAAAATACTTATTAACCAATTTATTCAAATTAGTTCATCGAAAATCTTCTCTTTGGCTTTTTATTATTAAATTTATAAATTTAAGGTCTGAATGTGGCTGAATAGCCCAAACCGGTCACTAATAAACAATTTATGGAGTCCCCTACCCCTCGTCAGAGGTTTTACATTAATTTATGGTGGCTTGATATTGGTTTTCATTAACCACATTTAATTGTGGAATACCAATCTTTTATTAGTAATAAATCTATTGTGTCAAGCTTCCGTTGTCATTATTTTGTGATTTACACAACTACGAGGTTTTAAATAGTTAAATCGCTTTCCGTTATTACTATCTATATGAAAATATTATCACTGTTTCATTTATTTATTCATTTATTTACTTATTCATTTATATATTTATATATTCAGCACTCAACAGCTTACGCCAATTACTGCATGGATTATAAAAATTCAACATAACATACATAAAGTTACAAACAAAAATAGTAAAAAATTATTTAAACAAATATATAAAAACTAAAATTAAGGTATTAAAATTAAACTAAAGTTAAAATAATAATTACACTTAAGCTCATGAAACTTACCTGCTATTATAACTAAAACCAAACTGCAGTTGAAAATATCAAATTCATCATGATGTAAATTATAAGCATCTAGTAAACGCTTTAACGGAGAATATTTACACACATTTGTACTTGAAGAAGCCACATAAAGTGTAAAACTATGTCGAGAGGACCAAAAAATTGACCTGACTGAATATCTTCAATATTAATTTCATTTTATAACAATTTATATAAAAATTTTAGCTCGAATGTTGTGCGTCGTAGCTGCAAAGCATCCAGAGAATGTTTATATGAATGATGGCAAACCATCGGGAGTATATTTGACATGTACCGACTCTCAAACAGAGCCGTTCGGATTCGGCGATAACCTGTAGGTCTCGTGTACTTGTGAAACACCGATGACACACATCACAAGTACATGCGAGAGGTATACCTGAAATATAGTTAGTCAACCATATAAAATTTTTCTCGAGAGATACTGCTTCAATTAGTTACATTGTGTTAATAGAAATGTTTTCCATGTTGTTGGTAGTTCGATTTTTGGTTGAAAAAAATAGCATTGTTTTGTTAATTTAACCAAACATGACTAGAGATTCCTGTTTTTAACGTGTCCTCCTTTATTCTGTTAATATAATGTTTACAACGCATATTATAACCTCTGACTACTAAATTTAGTAAGCAGAGGCTATAGAGTTGTTCTAAGAGAACCGCATATTTAAAGAAATTAAAGTTTAAAGAGTCTGTTTTTACTCTAATATATTTTCAGCCAACCAAACATTGAAGTATTCACAGTGGTAGTCCCGCAGGTTGTAAATATTTTCAAAAAAAAGTCAGAAGTCCTTGTGGCACAATCTTGTGCTTTGACAATTTCACTTTACATTATCAACTTCATACTTGATAAAAAATTTCAATTAAATAACCTAAACTACACAATTCATACATGAGTTGTAGTTTAGAAGGAAAAAAATCATCCATCCGTGAGATTCGGCCGCAATGACTCCTACATTGTGTTTTTATTAAGTTTCCCTAGCTGTTGGGACTTCGATATATAACTGAAAATATCATTGTTTTGTTTTTTTAGCCAACTAAGCATTGATACACCAGCTCTCTTAGCCCAGCAGCTAGGAAACCATACCAGTGCAGAAGTCCTTGTAGAGTGAATCATTTTGTTTACGGTTGAATGATATTCATTTAATAATTATTGTATAAATCACAAATACAATGGAAGTTTAATGTACCAGATTTTTTTTTCATTTTTTTTAATTTAACTTAATTGTTTTAGTAAATTTTTTGCGTTTTCTTACTCGTTAAGTTGTGTTTTTTGAATCAATTAAAGCTTCAAGAATATTTTTCTTTCAAGAATATCTCAATAAGGCATTTCCATAAGAAATCGATATTTTCCGCTTTTTCAAAAAAAAAATCGAATTGGTTTTGTTCATTATTCATGTTGGGGATTTATTTTTAAATTAATGTCAATCGTTAGGCAACCAATAAACTCATAGACTATGTATTTATTTTGCATAATCAAAATTGTCACTCTAAATCGCTGTCTTTATTAGACGGATGTCACTTGTCTTGTTATTATTCGATTCATTATTCGAATTCTGAGAATGTGGTTATGTTAACAAAAGTTTTATTTTAAAATCAGATTTTAATCAATCACAATAATTGTTTATCTCCATCATTTAACGGATTAATAATACAGAAATTACAGCTTAATTACAAATAATTCATTATTTATAGTAATTTACAGTAATTTTATAATATTATAAGAATATTCTCGTTGCTTATTGGTTTGAAATAAATATGACAGTGTCTTCCAATGAAAATGCGAGTTACTAACTCTAAATTCTATTTCTGAGCTGGCAAATGAGCTAGATGCTTTAGCTAGACCGTTATTCAGAATTCAGAAGCTACAAACTTATCGATAAAAATATGCATGAAAATTAAAAAGGTTGGTAGAGTATTAAGTTATTAAAGCGATTTTCCTAGCTGCGTATGGCACAAATCGTTACCCAGTTTTGCTACAAGCTTATTTTTTATTGGGGGAGATTTCACGAGATTGCGGAGTTAAATTGTTTTACAAAGGGATAGATCTATCCAGAATGGGGTAGTTGTGGCAACACTTCCGCTATCACTCGTCCTCTCGCTAAAACGCGCGTCAAGGCCGTGAATCACGGCCTTGGATTTTTACAGGCGGCCGTCATTCAAGGCCGTATATCACAGCCTTGGATTTTTACCCCCAACGCGCGTAAAGAAGTTTCACTTCAAAAAGTGTCGACATATTCACCAGGAACGTGCATATGGGTTATCATTGGCAGTGCCGTAAATAGTCCTTTCTGCGCTCTGTGCGAGCTTCTATAACTGCGCCTTGGTTTTTTTTAGATATTATAGGTACCCTAGAGCAATGCTATGTATAGGTTGTGGTATAGGCCTATTTTATTTCATTCGGGGTGATAAAATAAAGCACAAAAAACTTGAGGTTGGTGGACTAATTATCTAATATTTTAGCAGAAAAATCTATTTTTTTTTAAGAACTGATGCAAACAAGCAAACGAGCCATTTGATATTAAGTGGACTCTTCGCCTATTCTATTATACCACCCACCCTGTCTCACTCATTAAAATATGATGCTTAAGATTTAATTTTTGGGCCACTATGGGCTTCATACTTAATAATAAAATAATACTAAACTATAATAACACCCTGCGAAGTTTCAGTAAACGGTAAATTAATTTAATTTTAAGTACTTGGTATGGTAGCGTCCCAAGTAGCATTTGGACGTTATCTAACGTCGGGTATACGTCGCGTTCAATAAACCCGACGTCGGGTACCAACGTCGGTTCGACCGCCTGACGACCCTTATTTGCACCTAAATGGGGAATACAGATTCGGGTCGCCTCGACGTCGGTATCTGACCTAATAGGGAATGTAATTCTACCAATTACCAACGTCATATTACGTTGAATTTTAGTTACTTAAAATTCGTCGCTAAGCATTTACGTTACGTTTGGTTTCATATTCGCTACCAAGAATACATAAAAACCTAACCAAACTACCTAATTACAAATGGATTTATGATCACTCCTCGAATAGAACTATAAGTGCCTATCTAATTTCATATTATAATAATTCTGAATCATTAATCCAGACATCAGTTTTGTCAACGGAAGTCACTTTTTTGATATATCTGATTAAAATACTCCGGAAAACAACGAGCGCCTTCAAAAGTAGGTAGATTTATGAAATAAAAATATCTATAAAAAAGTAACTCGCAAAATATTTTTTTTATTTTCTAGCTGGTTTAATCATAAAACTGTACTGTGGTTCCCCCCAAACTCAACCTTATCAATGAATCTAATGTGAATATAAATTTTAAAAACAAAAATC